AATTGTAAACAAAGTACAGGTCGCATTTATAATCCGATTTGGATGAAATTTGGCACAAGTCACTTATTTGGCCCAAGGACGAACGCCATTGAAATTGGGAAAAATCGGTTCAGATTTAGATATAGCTCCCATATATATTTTCGTCCGATTTAAGGTAAATGGGGCACCAAAGTCCCTCTGTATCTTTCGATTTGCATGAAATTTGGCACAGAGTGCTGAATTAGGTCTAGAATGATGTGTGCCATGTATCGAGAAAATCGGTTTAGATTTAGATGTAGCTCCTTAGATGTAGCTCCCATATATAGTTTCGTCCGATTTAAGGTAAATGGTGCACCAAAGTCCCTATATATCATTCGATTTGCACGAAATTTGGCACAGAGTACTGAATTGGGTCCAGAATGATGTGTGCTATGTTTCGTGAAAATCGGTTCAGATTTAGATATAGCTCCCATATATAGTTTTGTCCGATTTAAAGTAAATGGGTCTCCAAAGTCCCTATATATCTTTCGATTTGCACGAAATTTGGCATAGAAAACTGAATTGGGGCCAGAATGATGTGTGCTAAGTTTCGTGAAAAACAGTTCAGATTTAGATATAGCTCCAATATATATTTTCGTCCGATTTAATGTAAATGGTTCAGCAATGTCCCTATATATCTTTCGATTTGCACGAAATGTGGCACAGCGTAATAAATTAGGTCTAGAATGATGTGTGTTAAGTTTCCTGAAAATCGGTTGCAGAATGACATGTTTATGGATCCAATTTCATTTTACTGGTCCTTTAAAAATGCGACGTCTGTTAGGATTCATCTGTTGAATATACCCAAAGTGGTGAAGGGTATCATATAGTCGGCCCCGTCCGACTTTACTACTTTCCTTCCTGGTTTTATATTAAAATAGTTATCTGATTTGTTTAGTGTGTTGGGGTTGGGTAGTCGTTACGGGGAATAGTCAATTTTTACCCCACAAAGACTATTTAGCCATCTGTTGTAAGCATTCCGCCTTCAATAATGAAATATATCGGCAGACATTTAGGCATCTCCTGAATATAGTGATACCTCCTGAAGGAAAGAATTGAGATAAACAATTAAAATATTGGGTTCAATATTGGCATATACCGGTCATTAATTAGGCATAGCCCTCATATAATGATATCCCCAAATATTCACTATTTCCTACGCTATGTAATCAATGTAATCCCCCTTTAGGCATAGCCTCATATAATTTTGTAATCTAAATTACAGTAGTTTGAGGATTTTATACTCTACCATGCGTTATCAGTATCAGTCCACTTTTTGCATCTTACAGAATTTAGGAAAAATCCCCATTAAAATTTGCTGAAGTTTGTATTTGGTGTACATAATGGTTTACATAAATCGGTTTGTAGAATTATTGGCATATGGCCACTTTTTGGTGTGTTCCCTATATTTTCATTGCATGTATCAGTCAGTATAACTATGGTTGAGGGTATCCAAATTTCGGCCCGGTCGAACTTAACGCTTTTTCACTTGTTAAGTTTAATATCGTCGATCACTGCATATCAGAGCTCTTCTCTCCTATGAAGAGAACTTCCTGCCAACCTTGGCAAACGATTGCGTCTTCATACCAATTGTTTCTGACCTCTTCCTTTTGCGTAAAAGCCGGTTGGTCCTTTGGGATTTTTTACTGAAGATTCCGTAGCAGGGGCTCACAGAATGCATTACAATATGTAAATATTTTAAGTCTGGACAAGCCAGAGTTTCTGATATTTTCATTTGGCAATTATATAACCCCATTTGTGTTAACGTTCAAAATGTATGCTAATATGATAATAACTCTTGGTTTTTTTGTTGATTTCCATTAAAAAATGAAACAACTATAAATATTTCACAACATATTTGTTTTGTTTTTATATTCAGACAATCCCAATGAGAGAATTAAAACATTCATTCGGTAATGAATCAAACAGCCATATAATGATTGTCATATATACGAGTATACATCTATTTCGAAAATTTGTTATTACAATTTTTATGGGTCATAAAAAGGCAGTCATCAAATTGATTGCTTATCATTCAACTGGGATTTTGGCTGTAGCCATAAACTAGAGTATATTAAAAAAGGAGAAGAAAAAAAAACCAGTGGGTAAAATATGATTGATCACTAAACAAACACTACTTAGGAACAGGGTTTTTTTTCTTGCTTTTGTTTTTTAATTCCATCATAAACACTTGAACCACAAAGTGTCCACACACTCACTCACTCAACCAGTCACTGGGAATCAAGGATCTCTGACATGAAAAGTCTTGGGTTGGATTTGTTTTTCCTATCTCCTCAAATAGAGCTGCTTTCAGGGCATGAAATATTAGCTGAAACTATTATGGCAACGGGTTTTTTTTTATCACATTGTAGAATATTCACACACACACATATATATATATACATATATATATATATATGAGAATGATTTTACTATGCATTACATGTAGTGTCAGTTATTATTCTTAACTCCCTTTCGCCCTAGACCATCATCCCTTTAGCTCTCTAACACTACTTATAGACAGGGTTTTTTAGCTGGATTTTTCTATTATAACATTTTTAGTTTGAAAAAAATGTACCCTTACCCCCTCCCCACCCTTGTCTTCTGTATAATTCTCATTTATACGGGGGTTTTTTTAATGGTGTTAATAATAAATTCCCTCAGCGTCAGGATATATAATTTTTTTTTCAAGAGTACTCCTTTGTTGCGGTTTTCTATGCAAGTATGTAGCAGTGTGTAGTTTGTCCCCGTTCACTTTCTGTGATGGGTATATGTGTGTGTGTCGTTTGTGTACAGATGTGTGTGGGTGTGGTACCAGCACTATTCATTGTTTGCGTTTACTATTTATCGCGAGTAATATTTTTTTATTCCCAAACATGCCATGATTTTCATTCAGTTCAAGTTTGGTTGATTATATACACAAATACACATGCTCTTGCAAATATGTATGTATGTGTGTATATTTATAGTCATGTCACATGGTGTTATATGGTCGTTTTGAGGTTATGGACATTTGTACACTGAAATAAAAATATGAAAAAAATTATAAAAACTTGAAGTTGATATTTAAATTATTGACTACAAATTTTAAGATAGTGTAGGAAATCTACTAAATATATACTGCATTGTCTAACGTCTTTTGATATTTCCAAGTGAAAGGTTAACCTATTTTTGCATAGACGTAAGTAAGTTAAGACATACGACGATGTGTTGTGTTGTTTACAATGCCTTAAAAATCAATGTGTCAATAATTTAAATAATTAAATTTCTGATTTATGAAAATAAAATGGGCTATTAATATAAAATATATTATGAGTTGCTGCCATATGACCAAACGCTAAATTCTGATCTCTAATGTCAACAACTGGACCGTTTGAAGATAGCAATTGACCAGAAACGAACAGGAGAGGTGTCGTGTTCCCCCAGGATAACGCTAGGCCACACACATCTACAGTGACTCGGCAGAAACTTCGACAGCTTGGTTGGGAAGTTGTAATGCATCCGCCGTACAGTTCGGACTTGGCACCAAGCGATTATCATATTTTTCTTGCATTGCAAAATTTCTTAAATGATAAAAAATTGGTGCCTAGGAAGGATTATGAAAATCAAATCTTAGAGATTTTGTTTTTTTTTAAATAGAGAGCAGGACTTCTATGAGAGAGGTATTATGAAGTTACCTTTAAAAAGGCAACAAATCATACAACAAAACGGCACATATTTGACCCAATTCGGACATTCGGAAGCATGTTAAATAAAGTCCTCTAATTCATATAAAAACCAGTAAGGAAAGTAGTAAAGTCGGGCGGGGCCGACTACATGATGCCCTTCACCATTTTGGGTGATGTTAGGATTCACAGATGAATCCTAACATTGTAAATCAATTTAAAGCACATATCAAACGGACACCCGTTGATTATTTGGAGTTCGAGTTCTTGGTGCATAATTTACTTAAAATCGGAAGAAAATATATATGTTAGCTCTATACAAATTTGAACCGATTTCAACAAAACTTTCCACATGCTAGGTTATATTAACTTCAGTATGTTGTGCATCGGCCTAACGTTGGGTCTTTTGTGTACCATTTAACTAAAATCGGACTAAATTATATGTGGGAGCTATATACAAATATGAACTGATTTTGAAGAAACTTGACACACATCATTCTAGACGTAATTCATTACGCTGTACCAAATTTCGTGCAAATCGAAAGATATATAGGGACTTTGGTGCACCATTTACCTTAAATCGGACGAAAATATATATGGGAGCTATATCCAAATCTGAACCGATTTTCAAGAAACTTGACACACATCATTATGGACCTAGTTCATTACGCTGTACCAAATTTCGTACAAATCGAAAGTTATATAGGGACTTTGGTGCACCATTTACCTTAAATCGGACAAAAATATATGTGGGAGCTATATCCAAATCTGAACCGATTTGCAAGAAACTTGACACACATCATTATATACCTAGTTCATTACGCTGTACCAAATTTCGTGCAAATCGAAAGATATATAGGAACCGTTTACATTAAATCGGACAAATATATATATATATATATATATGGGAGCTATATCTAAATCTGAACCGATTTTTCCCAATTTCAATAGGGTTCGTTCTTGGGCCGAATAAGCGACCTATCCCAAATTTCATCCAATTCGGATCATAAATGCGACCTGTACAGTGTTCACAATTTAACATGGACAGACGGACGGACATGCGTAAATCGACTTAGAAAGTGATTCTCTGCATATTCTCAAAAGGAACCATGTGTCTATCTCGTTTTTTTTGCTTGTTACAAACATATGCACAAAGACATAACACCCTGTACCACAGTGTGGTGAAGGGTATAAAAAGGCGAGAATCTAGGTATTATCGAGCTATGATCCATTATGACCACCAGTACCTGATCTATAACTTCGACTGTTGTAACCGCCATGTTGGAACCTGATGTGGTTGCAAAGCAGCTATATATGCTACAGCTTGATAACTGCCATGAGAAAAACCACCATTACCGCCACTGCAGTGTCCTCCATAACCACCGCCGTAATTACCGCCGTTGCTGTGATTTTCAGAACGTTCATGGGTAATGGCACAGGTATTGACTTGAGTAGCACAATGGCGCTATAACCACCGCCATGACCTCTAGAGGAATCATGAATTTCAGTGATAACAATAGCTGGCACCATGACCACGTCCACTAGCAGACTCGTGGCCACCTGAAGATCCACCATGGCCGCCGCCAAAACCAGCACCATGACCATGTCCACCAGCAGACTCACCATGACCGCCTTCAGCAATGATAACAGTTTCGTGACCACCAGAAGATTCATCATGACCGCCGCCATAATCAGTATCATGACCATCGTCATTACGCCATGATAAAGATACACTACCTTGCCACAACTTTGATCTGCTTGATCAACCCATAAAAATCCATAATCCTATAAGTCATCGAAAGCATTCGACTACCATGACTATCATCGCTATTTCGAGAATTATTTATAGATCAAAGTTTTTTTCCGGTGTATTTACCAGCTAATACATCGTCAGATTTTTTTATGGCGTTAGTGACTATGTCGTTGTTTACTATGATGATGAATATTGCAATGGTTATGATGATGGCGTTGCTAATAATACTGTAATGACTATAAACTTTAAACTACAACAATGTGAACGTAAAACAGATTGGAGCAAAGGGCTGAGCTCCGACAGGAGAGACGATGAAGTTATGGTGACATGTCGTAAAAAAATTCCAAAAAAAGAAATAAATAAATAAAAATTAAACGTCATATACACATGTAAAAACTAAAGTTATTAAGTCGTATCAAACATGCTCTAAAGTAATTTATTTAAGTCGTATTAAGTTGTCCTCCCTTCCAACATTTCGGGATACGTTTTTTTTTTTTTGAGGGGCAGTTTTAAAACAATTTGTATGGCATGTTATGAAATTAGCATGACATTTAATATTTGAAAAGTTGGTTAGAGATTTTGGAATGTGTTATCCTGTCTCCTCAGACCTGCTAAAGAAACTCCTTGGAGAAAATCACCAATATGTGGTGATTTTCTGCAAGTAATTCGTATATTGCCTCTATTTTAAGGTTCCGGTAATTCCAGACATATTTAAAGCGACAGACACATTTTCCAACCAAACAGACTGTAATTTGTTAGAGGTCGAAGCACTAATACATTTACGTTTAACACCATGACCTTACAGAATTCAAGCTAAAATGAGGAAAAAAGAAACGTTACCATATTTTATCAAACGACAGATATTTGAATTTTCCTCTTCTTTTGAGGTTATGTGTAATTGCGTCCCATTAAAAATAAAACAAAATATGTTTTTTTTATAAAAAATAAAATAATAATATATTTTCATAAATATTTACAATAGAATAAAAATAAAATAATTTGATGAAAAATAAAATAATATAAATTAAAAAATGGAGTTTTGCTTAGAAAATGCAACATTTTCAGCGCCCATAAAACAGTTGGGCGCCATTTGTAGTGAAACATGAACGTAGGTAAATGCATTGAGTGGTTTTTTGTTCGATGTGTTTGTTGATTGTTGTGGTTGTAGTTGTGGAAAATGGACTAGACTTAAATTAGATGATGGTCATCCGTTTAATAACCACCTGAGGCAGACCAACCAGATGATAATGATTGCCAACCGCCGGAGGAAGATGGGCCGGATGGATAGGGATATGCTGAACTGGCACCACCATGGGAGCTACCACCTGATGAGGCAGCAGCAATTGCGGCAATTTTGGCATCATCATGACCAGAACCGCTGGCACCACCATAGCCGCCACCATAACCTCCACTGTAACCACCACCATAACCGCCGGAGCCGCTGTGGCCACTACCGCCAGCAGTAGCAGCAGCAATGGCAGCAATCTTGGCATCATCGTGACCACCTCCATAGCCACCAGAGTAACCGCCAGCACCGCCAGAGTAACCGCCAGCACCACCATGGGAACTACCACCAGCAGTAGCAGCAGCAATGGCAGCAATCTTGGCATCATCATGACCACCTCCATAGCCACCACCATAACCACCGGAACTGCCATGGGACGAGGAAGAGGAGGAAGCAGCAGCAATGGCAGCAATCTTGGCATCATCGTGAGAGGAACCGCCATAACCACCGGCGCCAGAGCTATAACCTCCGCTGCTGTAACCACCATGTCCGCCCGAACTGGAACCAGCTGTGGCTGCAATGGCAGCAATATTAGCTACAGCATGAGAACTGCCATGAGAGGAACCGCCATAGGAAGAGCCGCCATATGAAGAACCGCCATAACCACCGCTGCTGTGTCCGCCATAACCACCACCGCTGCTGTGACCTCCAGCACTTTCTTGGATAACGGCATAGGTATTGACTTGGGCGCCACCATGACCACCGGCGCTATAACCACCACCATGACCATGACCTCCAGCGGAACCGTGATTTTCAGTGATAACAAGGGTTTGTTGAGCAGCACCATGTCCACCAGCACTATAACCGCCAGCATGACCACCACCATAACTGCCACCATGTCCACCAGCAGAACCACCATGACCGCCTTCAGCAATGATAACAGTTTCGTGACCACCAGAAGATCCACCATGGCCGCCGCCAAAACCAGCACCATGACCACCGCCGTAGCCACCACCATGACCATGTCCACCAGCAGAGCCACCATGACCGCCTTCAGCAATGATAACAGTTTCATGGCCACCAGAAGATCCACCATGACCGCCGCCATAACCACCGCCATAGCCGCCACCATGACCATGTCCACCAGCAGAACCACCATGACCGCCTTCAGCAATGATAACAGTTTCATGGGCACCGTGAGAGCCTCCATGGCCGCCACCGAAACCAGCACCATGACCGCCGCCATGTCCATGTCCACCAGCCGAACCGCCATCAGCAATAATCAAAGTTTCTTGGCTGCCACCATGGCCGCCGGCACTATAGCCACCACCGAAAACGGCACCATGACCACCGCCGAAGCCACCACCATGACCATGGCCGCCGCCATGACCACCGGCATCAGCAACAATTACAGTTTGGACATCACCGCCTCCGTGGCCACCACCATGGCCGCCGCCATGACCAGCATCACTGATGAAACCACCGCCCAACAAACCTCCAGTCAAGGGTCCAATTACATCACCATGGCCGCCGCCGCCACCATGATGTTCATAATGGCCACCGCTACCACCATGATCCCCGCCAGACTCGGGTAAGTGGATGCGTATGTGGACATGTTCTTTGCCGAAGGTGGGTTTGCCATAGGTCAGGCCACTGGCCACCAACAAGACGCTTAGCTGAAAATCAAAAAAATGGCACAAGTTAAGAAAAATTCAGTCGCAGCAGATCCTTTAATACTCACAATAAGCCACTTTGCCATTTTATTTCTTTTTATAGGCCAAACAAAAATTTACAACGACGACTTTAAGCAACCAAAATTTTGGTTACTCCGATTAATTTAAAAATATGAAAAAAAGGTTAACCGTATTCCAACACCTTTCACCCGCAGCTGTTTTGTTAGCTCTCGAGTACGTCCCTGCTACGGTGTCAAAACACAAATGATGCGTTTGCTGTCATAGTGCAGCACATTTATACCGAGCATACTCTTTGCTCTGTAGGGGTGTTATGTAAGTTTACCGAAAAATATATACAAACAAACACACACACACACTCACTGCAGATGGCGAAAAGCCCCATAAGCCAAGCTGAGCTAAGCCAATGTTAAAACATTGCACCAGCATAATCAGCAATACAACAATGCCAAACGCCAAGCCAAGCAGCCAGCAGCATCATCATCCAAAACCCGAATTTTTTGAAAATCAAAACAAACAAACCAAGCAAACGGTTGTCGGTCGGTCGTCTAGCGGCCGATCGAACGACCTACCTTAACATTATTCCCAGACGGCCAACAAACATTTCAGCGAACACAAAAACTTCGTCATTCATTGCCATGGTTCAACAGCAGCAACTCCCGAACTTCAGAGCGAAATTCAAAAACTCAGGAAACAAATGTAACGAAGCTGTAGGAACAACAACAACAGCCGCAATAATGATCATCGCTCAGCGAGAGAGTCTTTCTTTTGAAACACACATGAACACAATCAAATTATTGCAACAACACTGATGTTCAAAAATTTAAATAAATTTATAATAAAAAAACAAAATAATTTTGAAATTTGTATAAATTTAATATTGATAAGAAATTGGGTAGATTCAAGTTTTAAAACAAAATTCAAATTTGAAATTAATTTAAAATCGCTTTATTACAACAACTTGAGACATAAAATTTGAAACTATTACATCAACCATACCAGCTGGGTGTCCATATATTTTTGGCATGTGGGTATTGGAAAATATTTGAAGATTGTATAACGGTACAACAATGGGTTAAATTACGATTATGTCAGGGCTATAACAAATATGGTCTTGTGAATATGGTTGTTATACAGTATAATATTTATACCCTTCACTACACTGTGGTACAGGGTATTATGTCTATGTGCATATGTTTGTAACAGGCAATCATAATCGAGATAGACCCATGGTTCCTGAATATTCATAGAATCACTTTCTGAGTCGATTTACGCATGTCCGTCCGTCCATGCATTTTTGTTAACAAAGTTCAGGTCGCATTTATGATCCGATATGGATGAAATTTGGCACAGTTCACTTATTTGGCCCAAGGACGAACCCTAAAGTATCTGAAAATCATTCGATTTGCACGAAATTTGGCACAGGGTACTGAACTAGGTCTAGAACAATATGTGTTAAGTTTCCTGAAAATCGGTTCAGATTTATATGTAGCTCCCATATATATCTTCGTCCGATTTAAGGTAAATTGTGTACCAAAGTCCTTATATATCTTTCGATTTGCACGAAATTTGGCACAGCGTACTGAATTGCATCTATAATAATGTTTGTTAAGTCTCATGAAAATCGGTTCAGATTTAGATATAGCTCCCATATATAGATTCACCCGATTTTAGGTAATTGGTGCACCAAAGTCCCTGGAAATCTTTCATTTGCACAAATTTTGTCTAATTTTGTCTCATTTGAATTAAGTCTAAAATGATGTGTGCAAAGTTACGTGAAAATCGGTTCAGATTTATATATAGCTCCCATATATATTTTCATCCGATTTTAGGTAATTGGTGCAGCAAAGTCTCTGAAAATCATTCGATTTGCACGAAATTTGTCATAGCGTACTGAATTAAGGCTAGAATGACGTGTGGTAAGCTTCGTGAAAATCGGTTCGGTTTCGCCCGATTTTATGTAATTGGTGCACCAAAGTCGCTATATAGCTTTCGAATTTTGGTATAGGGTACTGAATTAAGTGTGGAATGATGTTGTTAAGCTTCGTGAAAAGATTCATAGGTAGATCGATTGACATAGCGTACTGAAGTAATATAAACTAGTCTCTGGCAAGTTTCCCTGAAATCGGTTCAGATACAGATATATAACAAAAACGCGTCGTCTGTTAGAATACATATGTAGAATATACCAAAAGTGGTGAAGGGTATCGTCGTCAGTCATATAGTCATATAGTTTTATTTTACCTAGTTAGAAAGTTTTACATAAGGATTCTCCAGAATTCAGAAATTCAGAATTTTTTACGGGTTTTTCCTTCTAGAGCGGAATTTTATCAAAGTTAATATAAATCATTGAATAAATTAGAGGAATCGGGAAACATCGAATTTAGAACCACTGACAAATCTAAACAACAAATTACAGGGTACTATATTGGCTACGCTATTGATGTACTATTTTTTTTTAATGTTGAAAAAATTCAGAGTTGCTCTACAATCTTTAAAAAATCTAGATTTCCTTCAGAATGTTGACGTCTATAGAATCAGTAAGTGTTATAATTGCTCATAATTTTCTATGTTCGTCTGTAAATAGTATGTAAATAGAGACAATATGGAGTTTCATATAATTTGTAAAGCAAATCTTTAAATTAGCGGAGTAGAATCTGGCGGAATGTTTTATAGGCACAAAAAGCTAATTTTTGAAGACCCTTTGTATGGGAGGTATACCAAATATTGGTCCGATCTATTCAGTTTTTTGTCAGATTTATAGTTGTTTTAAAGATTTTTTATAAGCCAAAGACCCACTATATGGAAGCTATACCAAGTCTTGGTCCAATCTACCTAGTTTTTTTTATCAATTGCTTTACAGACAAAAGTAGGTAAAAATTGGCAATTTTCATTGAATTTGGTTGAAAATGGTTAAAAAAGGGTAAAATTCTCAAGACCCACTATATGGAAGGTATATCAAAACTTGGTCCGATCTATAAAATTTGTTGTCTGTTGTCTTTAGGCCAATAATAAGCACTTGTACAAAATTTCATCCAACTACGATGAATCCTTCTATTTTTGGCCGCTGTTAATATGAACTCGCGACGTAGTGCCGCGCCAGTAGAAAATGCTGATAAAACATCCAAAATACCTCAAGTGGAGAGTGTAGCGTAAGGGGGGTTATGTGTGGTTATTTAGAAGTGTTTTACTTAACAATAACCCAGTATGACAAATTACATCCACTTCGGTCGAAAAATGGTGAGCGTGCACCGATAACCCGGCATGTCAAATAAAAACGGTTGAATAATTCGGTTATATCCTTGAGAATACCAACAAATACCGACTATAGGAAAACGTCGACGATATATACAATTTTCAATACCAAGCATACAAGAAGTAATAGCAATAAATGTCAAAATTTTCTATAGCAATTTTAACAGGCAAACGGATATGGCTGAACCCTTAGATTGCCCTTATATGAAAGCAGTAAGGAAAGGATCATTCGCAATCTGGAGTATTCAGAAGTTATTGAGAGTATACAAGTAGACTTATATAGGTCCTCATCTTGAACCTTGAATGTCAAAAAATTAACGTTTCGAAAAAAAAATAATGAGACTTAACAATTTTTGATAAAAGTCACAAGATTTATTTGCAAGACTATTAAACGCGAATTTCAAAAATGATCTGCCTTGGCTGAGGATATAGCCTTATGGCTAAAAGTGAAATATTAGCTTCAGGCCCGATATTTCTTTGGACCAAATCCGTTTCTTATGAGTTGGAGTGGATTTATAAATGTATAGTATATTAAAATGCGATCCATTGGTCCACTCCTTCCAGTAATTTCCCCAAAAAGGGTCAACATTTAGAAAATTTGTAAAATTAATTCAATAACTATCGCATGGAATGTCCGATTTGATGCAACATGTGTACATCGTAGTATTTCTTTCAAACTTGGGTCCGTCGGTTCACACCTTCTGATAACGCCCACGCCTTCTTATAACTCTCCCATAAACATTATAATGAAAATTAATTTTACAATATCATTCTAACAGAATATCCGATTTGATTTAAACTTTGCACAACCTAATATTTTAAACATAATTTTATAATGTTAGAAAATGGGAATTATAGGCCATCTCCTTCTAGTAGCTTTTTAATCTCATATGGAACCAATGAAATCTCCAATTTCATTGAAACTCGTTGCACATCGTTGTTTGTTTACCGCACATAGATCTAGTTCGAAAATGGGACCCACAAAAAAGTGTCAACATTTTGAAAATTGGTTAATCAGATATTAAGTTACTGGACTGACTTATTTCATCCAAACTTTGCAAATCGTAAAATTTTTAGCAAATCATTGGTCCACTCCTTCTAGTACCTCCCACACAAAGGGTCTACATTTTAAAAACTTGTAAAGTAAAATTGAATCGAATAAACGATTCGTTGTGTGCATATGGGAACATATTCTGGTACCTCTCCTCAGATGGTTAAATCAGTATGTAATTCCGTAAATCTCCGAAAATCTGTCGGTAAACACCGACTGATACTTTTTTACTCGTTCAACATATTTTATTGGAACTTCGTATACAAAAAAGTCTTATTTTCACAAACTTTGACAAAAAACTTACTCATTTTATACAATAAATATTCAATTTACCTGAAAATACAAGAGAAAATAAAGGGGAGTTAATTAATATATTGTAGACACTTAAAAAAATAGTAATGAAAATAATTATAATAATTTTATTATTCAATTTTGAAGCGGATCAACTCTGTTTTATTCAAATATTATTTGCTATAGTATAAACGCATACATTTTATTAATAATTTAAATGCGACTCTTATTTAAATATTTGAAATTAACGGTTAACCATGTAAATATTTTGTAAATAGTACTAAAAACTACATCTCTGAATCTACTACATTATTACACAACCAATACTAGGCGAGGATCTTGCTTCTCATAAGTAGTACCTAAGCTCAATCAAATTTCAATAAAACCGCTTCATTCCGAGTCCTGGACCCCCCGGCTCTAATTCGTTTAGCGAACACTGAAGGCTTAAGATCATTACCCACGTTTGCCCAA